CACTCGATTTTTCGTTCTGAATCCATTTCCGGCATTATTTTTACCATTTGAGACCTTCTACTCAATTTTTCATGCTTAGAGATACGTGTTTTGGTAAATTACCGTTTTAGCCTTTTCACATATTTTGGCCTTAATTTCAGGATTTTCACTAATCCCACCCCTTTAATCAACATTATCACATATAAAAACAAATTTAAAAATATGAGGTGTTATAGAGGATACGAAAGCTTACCTCGCAAGCTAACAACCTCAAGTCAAAGGTCCACACCAGCCCAAGGTCCACAAATAGCGAAATCATAATCTGTTTAGACCAGCAATCATATCAACATTCATGATCTAAAAGTTCATGACACAACGATGTTTTCTTTTTCGTTTCAAGCCATTAGACTTCTCCCAAAGCCATAAACCCTTAATCCAATTGATTCTGACTTAGTTAAATTATTACAGAGGTTCAACTTAACCAATCATGGGTCCACAAACCCAATATACCATTCTGTATGAACAGAGCAGTCACCAACTTGACATTCCCAAAATATCCGGATACCTCACGGGGCCTTGTCCGGATATCCATACCGGGATATCATATCCGGATATTCATATCCGGATATCTCCAAACTAATATCCGGATATCATATTAGGATATTTCGTGACAGACTGCAGAATCTGCATTTCGCGAAGATATCCTCTAAGCCTCGATTTTTAACACTTATACATGTTAAAGCATGCATCTCTAAACCCATTTAGACCAGTGATCATGTTAGCTACTTAATCATCTCGTTATACATGCCAAGACTTGGCCTTTACATAGAAAACTCATGATCAGAGGTGAGGAACATACCTCAAAGGCTCAAAATAGAAACCACAAGTGCTCTTGGAGCTCTCAAACCAGCCACAAGGTTCTGACTTCAAAGGTCCACAAAAATGGCTATCAAGCAAGGTCCTTTCTCTCCAAAAATGGCTTCTTGCCACTGTAAGAACCCGCACTATTAATTTAGAAAATTAATTAATTAATTATGTGATTAATGAGATAATTCCATAATTGACCCTAATAATCATGAGGAGGCTTAAATAATTATGGTAAGTGATTAAGAATGTTGAAAGTCGCTTTTCTGACGAAAAGTGCAGATACTGGTTATGCCTCACAGTATAATTTTGTAAGATGACATGTTGTATTATATGTTATGTATCTGACCTTTCATGAAGGACGTGAACTCTTAGGTGGAGAATGCTCTATAAACTCAGAGCTTACTGAGATTATGAATCTCACCCCGTTTGGTGATATATATGTTTTACGTACTCTAGTAGTAAGAGAGACCTCTTAGGGCAAGAGGCATGTGCAGAGTGGTTAGATGATCCAGCTGGAGTAGATACTTAGATTGGTATTTCGAGGATGATTGTATATCATGTTTTGTGAAGCATGAGATGTTATGATCATGCATATTTACAGTTATTATCCATTTTGAGAGGCACGTGTTGCCTATGTGTATTTGTAAATTATGGAGACATGAGTTTTGTATTTATGTATTGTATTATGTTAGATGCTATCTGAAATGGCACAGAGCCGTATTTCAGTGTATGTGTATTTGGACAAGAGTTTTTTGGATTTCAAGTATCAAGTTTAATGTGGGATTTTATCCCTGGTTGTCCGAATTATAGCCGTCATGCAATCTGTAAGACTACATCAGAAGTGGTACATGTTATCATATTCAGATAGTTATTTGATCATTAGTTCTGAGCACGAGTTGTCAAGTTGTGATTCTGTGCAGTTATGGGATTGTACTGTAGCGCCCCTCTTGTATGCATCCAAGAGATGCGTTATTGCTAACTTGTATTAGAGTCGCAGCGGAAAAAAAAAGATTGGTTTAACGTTTGCAAAAGCTAAACATAAAGAATCTTTACTGAACCACTCAAGATTAGAAAACCTTGTACTTAAAATTGTTTCGTCATGAAAACAGCGAAAGTTTCAAAATAAGCGCTTGCTGAAATTTTCTCTTTTTACCAGAAAAACGTACTGTTCTCTAAAATTCATATAAAATCAATCTGATGTCGGGTAAAAATGATTCTTCACTACGGTGAAACTAGATACACGGGGCTTCGCGTCCATATAAAATATGTGCGATTCCGAGATGAATAGCCCCTTGAACTTGAACTCGCAAGTTGCTCGCGAATTCTGCGAATTTTCTTAAAAACCTGCTGTCTTGCGTTATTTTTCAGAATTCGTATAGTTACCATAAAATTTTGACTTCTGCAGATTCTTAAAGGTACTTTCAGGGGCTTCGCGTGCATATAAGTTATGCCGCATTTGGAGGTTCTTAGCCCCGGGACGCCAACTTTTAAGTTGCTCGCAAAATAACAGTTTTCAGAAAACAATCCATACTTCCAAAAACATAGTCATTAATCCAAAACAGCAATTAACCAAAAGTTCAAGATCAGTAACTGGACCAGAATTTTCCCAAACAAAATAAACAACTTTTGTAAAATCCAAAATAACAGAATAATGAAACTTCAAGTTATCCTTCTTGCAAACACAATCATCCAACTCAACAAACAGCCATGAGTCCAGTTACGGGTACACAAAACAGCCAAGCATCGCATAACAAAACATCAAATACTTTTGCGTCCTCCTGCCATTGTACATCAGAAAACAGCAGCCCCAAAGGGGTGAGAAACATTTCCCAGTAGTGTGAGACAATACCAAAATGCAAAGAGCATAAGCTAGAACCCGAAATAGTTGAAATAACAAGATTTATCATATATATATATACATGCTGCCATATGCTAAACAAGATGCGTAAAACACCAAGAGTACGTTATAGCACTAATGTGCCCGTACTATCAAGCACAGTGGATTACCCTTGATGGCTTCTCAAGAAGGGATCCAACCGTGGCCTAAGCGGACTGAAGCCAATTGTCCCAAGACCTTGGTACCGAAGGTAATGCCTATATGGTGCATGCTCATCCATATGCTTAGTTTTTAAAAATGATTGTTTTGTCGCAATAGGAAATTGATGCTCGAATGCTATGCTTTGTGACGCACACAGCATACAAAATAAAATGTCATGATGAACATGTATGTCAAGATCATATAATTTGTATCATAACAAGACTTTGCAGCATATATATATGTAGCAAGATTAACAAGATGTCAAAACGAGCAACATTAATACGTATAGATATATCAAGACATGGAGCCACGATCTCATCTCGTGCTCCTTCTAGCAAGTAGGAAGAGTAGTGCCTTCACACAATTACCTAAAACGTCACTGTACCGAATCCAAACAGCAGCGAAAATGTCCAATTCACGAATTAACAGCACCTAATTTTAAACAGAAAAAATCAGCATAGTGTTCAAGCTTCTCTAAACATTAAACCAAAGCTTCCCAAGCCTAAAATGTCCCTACATCCCGCGGCCAAGAAGGGTCCTATCCTAGGGATTTTGTGACTTCCAAATGGGATTTTTAACAACAAAAACAGAGGGAAATCCTAAGAGTTCTCGTCAGGCAGATTCAGAGAAGACATAACCGTACTGTTTTAAATTTAATTAATTTAAACCAGTAGCACTTTATTCACAACCGGTAAAAGTATTTTTAAATTTTAACAAAATACATTTTCTTCAAATCATCAGAGATTCGGTTTTTACAGCAAGGGGCAGATCAAAACAGAATAGAAAGTTAGAAGGTTCAGCCCTTGTTTTACCTTCAAGACCGAACAGAAAGGAAGAAAGAGATGGATTCAGATTTCTGCTTGTTGCTACACCAAGTCGCTCGCACGTTTGACCACTAGGCAGCCACCAACGCCTTAGCTGGACAAACCGAGAGGAGTCTTTAATAATTTTAACGAAGTCAGGGACAAAAATATATAGCAAGAAGATACCTTACCTTCTTGAGGAGGAAGGCACGGCTGAACAGAGGGAAAAGGTATAAAGACGTTGAATCTTTGTTTCTGCTTCAAAAGGGGTTACACGGTTTCTGCAACAGAAACCCAAGAAGAGGTGAAATCGTTCTTCCGTTTGAACTCCAATGATGTTGTGGTTTAGGTAAAATACAAGAAAACAGAATCAGAAGATAACTTTACAAGTTTATCTTGGTTGAGGAGAGGAAAAGAGGGAGGTTGGCTGTGAGTTGATCCACACAACCAGAGATCAAAATTTATGCCCATCACTCTGCTGATGAACGCGTGAGGGAAGAAGGAAGGGAGATAAAATTTTTATCCAATTAGAAAGCATGCATCCTGCTCTCTGTCAACCGATTGGCTACTCCTAGAGGTGGGCAGATTTTAGGGGTTTACGAAAAGAGTTAGGCAAGGTAGGCTGAAACCCTATTTCTGATCTTTCTCCACTGCACAAGGCAGAGACTTGACTCACTAGGTGATAAGGTTGCTTTGGCCAAGAGGATTTTCATCCAATCACGTTGAGAGGAGAGGGATTTCACGCTGATTAGGTAGGAGTGGAAGGCTGGATCAGATTGGGAAGTGAATTGGGTTGGGTTGCTGCTCCAAGGCTCTTGGGCCGCAGGTCAAAACAATTGTTGTGGCCCAACATACTAACTTATGAAATCAATTTGAGATTAGCCCATCAGCAATAAGCCCCAATGCTTTTAAATTAGGCTGACTAATACTCATCATCCTATGGGCCAGCGACCTTCTCCCCCAAACAAGGCCCAACATGCTAATTCCTCTTATATTATAATTCAGCCCATCACTAATTAAATTCATTTAATTAATTTATTGCCTCTTACTTTATTTTTAATAACTTATGGCTGCAATTGTAAATTAGCTTTCTCATGCCTAACATAATTTCTGTGACTAATTAATTTGTTTCAAGAAACTTCCTAACTCAAATTAATTTTCTCCTAATAATTATATACTCGAATCAAAGCACAAAGCACATACAAGAACATAATACCCAAAATTCTCATAGCAACATAATATATTTCCTATTTACGTGGAATGTTACACTCTCCCCACCAAAATGGAATTTTGTCTGCAAAATTCGAACTTACCTATTCATTAAATAATTCAGGATAGCGTTTCCGTATTTCATCTTCACGTTCCCATGTAGCTTCGGCTGCGGATTTGTTGTTCCACAACACCTTCACCAACGGAACCTCCTTAGAACGGAGTTGCTTAACAGATCTTTCCATAATCTGAAATGGCTGAACATGGTATGTCAGATTTTCTCTTAATTCGACCTCCTCCGGTTACAACACGTGCGACGGATCAGAGAGGTATCTCCTCAGTTGTGATACATGAAATACATCATGAATTCCTGACAGATTAGGTGGCAAAGCCAAACGATATGCTGACTCGCCAATCCGATCCAAGATAAGATACGGCCCCAAATATCGCGGACTTAATTTCTTGACTCTCATTCTCCTACCGAGACCCGATGTGGGCGTGATTCGCAAAAATACATGATCTCCCACTTCGAAAGATAAAGGCTTATGGCGCTTGTCATAGTAATTTTTCTGTCTGGCCTGCGCTCGCTGCATGTTTTCTCTTATCTTCTTTACTTGCTCATAAGTTTCCTGAATTACGTCAGGCCCCAAAATACTTCGCTCTCCTACTTCAGTCCAACACAGAGGTGATCTGCACTTTCTTCCATACAAAGCTTCATAAGGAGCCATCTAAATACTGGAATGATAACTGTTATTATACGCGAATTCGATCAAAGGAATATACTGATCCCAACTTCCTCCATGCTCTAAGAAACACGCTCGTAACATGTCCTCTAAAACCTGGATAGTTCGTTCAGATCGCCCATCGGTTTGCGGGTGGTAAGCAGTGCTCAACCTCAATTGCGTACCGAGAGCTCGCTGAAAGGACTCCCAGAATTTAGAGGTGAACTTAGGATCACGATCACTGACTATACTGGTAGGAACTCCATGCAGCTTCACGATCTCTTGCAGATAAATCCTTGCCAGTTTCTCTGTATTATACGTGGTTCGAACACACAGGAAATGAGCTGATTTCGTCAATCGATCAATAATTATCCAAATAGCATCATAACCATCTTTCAAACGAGGAAGTCCTACTACAAAATCCATAGCAATACTGTCCCATTTCCACTCGGGAATCTCCAGAGGTTGAAGTAATCCCGAAGGTCTCTGATGTTCGTACTTCACTTTCTGGCACGTCAGACACCGAGATACATACTCAGCAATGTCACACTTCATTCCCGGCCACCCGAACGAAGTCTTCAGGTCATGGTACATCTTCGTAGATCCAGGATGAACGACATAATTTCCTTTATGAGCTTCCTGCAAAACTTCTGACTTCAATTCAGCACTCGGCACAACTAACCGACCTTGGAATCTTAACATTTCGTTCTCATCCCATAACACATCTCGCATGCCGGCCAGATCATGGACTAACTCTTCATTTCTTTAGGCCTCCTTGATCCTACGGAGTAGCTCGTTTTCTATCTTAATATTGCCCAATCTTATACTACGCCTTCGCCTGACAACCGACAAGTTCATATCTCGAAAAGCTTCAAACAACTTCAGTTCTTCTATCATCAAGGTTGCGGCATGGAGAGTCTTCTGACTCAGGGCGTCCGCTACTACATTCGCTTTACCTGGGTGATACTTCTGATCGAACAGATATTTGAGACTCTTGTGATCGCTGAACACATCGAACTGAGAACCATACAAGTAATGTCTCCAGATTTTCAGCGCGAACACTATGGCTGCTAACTCCAGATCGTGCGTATGATAATTTTCTTCATGAGATTTCAGTTGCCGAGAGGCATAAGCCACTACCATCCGATCCTGCATCAGTACGCAGCCAAGTCCTTTCAAGGACGCATCACAATATACTTCGAACTTCCTTGTTGGGTCAGGAATAGTAAGTATCGGAGCACTTGTCAATCTATTCTTCAGCTCCAGGAAACATTCTTCACAATCTTCAGTCCAATCAAAAGGTACATCCTTTCGAGTTAGACGAGTAAGAGGCTGCACCAGACGTGAGAAATTCTGGATAAATCTTCGGTAATAACCTGCTAGACCTAAGAAACTACGTACTTCAGTGACGGTTCCGGGCCGATCCCAATTCATGACAGCTTCCACTTTGCTGGGGTCAACTGCAATACCTTCTGCTGAAATCACGTGTCCCAAGAACTGAACTTCACCGAGCCAGAATTCACACTTTGACCATTTTGCATACAGTTGCTTCTCTTTCAGAATTTGCAAAACTATCCTTAGATGTTCTGCATGTAGCTCTTCATTCGGAGAGTAAATCAGAATGTCATCAATGAATACGATAACAAACTGATCCAGAAATGGACGGAAGATGCGGTTCATGTAATCCATGAATACCGCCGGAGCATTTGTCAATCCAAACAGAATTACTTGATACTCGTAATGACCATAACGAGTACGGATATCTGTTTTCGGAATATCCTCCGGTCTGACCCGGATTTGGTGATATCCCGATCTCAGATCTATCTTAGAAAAGACTCTGGCACCTCTTAGCTGGTCCATCAAATCATCGATCCTTGGAAGTGGATACTTATTCTTCACAGTCACTTTATTCAGCTGACGATAATCTACACACAGACGTAGACTACCATCTTTCTTCTTAATCAAGATTGCTGGAGCACCCCATGGTGAGGTACTAGGTCGAATGAACTCCTTTGCCAGCAGCTCTTCTATCTGCTTCTTCAATTCTCTGAGTTCCAATGGTGCCATACGATACGGAGCAATGGATATAGGACCAATTCCGGGAATAAGTTCAATGGGGAATTCAATTTCCCGATGAGGGGGTAATCGAGGAATTTCATCAGGAAACACCTCCTCGAATTCATTAACAACAGGTACATCCAGAATTGATTTGCCGACTGAAGTCTCGGACTCAATTAACAGCAAATATCTGGCAGCTCCCCGAAGGAGCTCCTTCCTAACTTGTAATAATGAAATAGTAGAGAAGGAAGAAGAATTACCATCTCTCGGAGGAACAATGACCTTCCCTGTCTGACAATCTAGCGTCATTCCATTCTCCGACAACCAGTCCATTCCGATAATCACATCAAAGTTGAATACCGGTAGGACCACCAAACTCACGGTGTACGTGTTTCCTTCAAATTGTAGAATAACACCTCAGCAGATCTCTGAGGCTGTACAAGACCCTCCAGTAGGAGTACTGATGCTCAACTCGTAGGGCAATGGAGCCGGGGTAATGCCTATTCTTAGAGCGGTGTGCTTTGCAATAAAAGAGCCTGATGCTCCCGAATCAAAAATAACAGACATAGGATAACCATTTAAAATCACGTTACCTTTGATCAGGTTCAGATATTTCTGAGCTTCATTGGCGTCAAGGGTGAATACCCGAGCTTGAGTAGGGTTCTTGTTAGGATTCTGCGGGCAATCGAAAACAAAATGCCCTGACTGTCCACAAGCATTGCACAAGTTATTTGCTCGACGACACACTCCAGTGTGGTTCTTCCCGCAAGAAGGGCAAGCATAATTCTGTCTTCCAGTAGATGTCTGACCAGGAGCATTGTTCTTCTTGAAATTTCCGGCTCGAGCTTGCATCTGAGGATTCTTGCCTCTTCCCATTCCGGTAATCTTCTAGAGCTTGTGAAAAAATTTTGAGGCAATGATTTTTGTGTCTATATCGCAATATCTTGAAAATTGTTAGGTCTGTGGTCCATGATGGACCCGACTCATTTGATGGGGCCCCTGATCTCTTGTTTATATGAGATGCTTAGATGTTCGATCCCCATTACTAGTAGAGAGAAAAAAAAGGTAGATGCGAAGAAATAGATTCGCGCAAGAGAAAGTGCTAGTTAGAGATAAAGATCCTCTAAGGAAAAAATCCAGTGCCATTGCTGAATAAGAACAATACCCTGTAGAGTAGGATTCCTATCCCTTTTACAAAGAGAGACACTTGTTTGAGACATTTGTCAAATCCATTAGTTTAGGGGGTGAAGTCCTTTGGTTATTGAGCCATAGTGAATCTTTCGTAAATCTCATTATTCATAGTGAAAATTTTCTAAACTTGATCCCATAGTTTTTACTCTTCACATCAAAGAGGTTTTCCATGTTAAAATTTTTGGTGTTCTCTGATTTCTTTATCTCTATTTTTATTTTTGATTTACTGTTCATCAATACTTCTACAAGCTAACCTAGTGAAGGCCATGTTATTTGACATAGAGGTCAGGCTGGAAAGTGCCAGGCTTTGAGGTACAATAGTGGTATTATAGTTCTTTGATCAAAGACTTGATGAGGTAGAGATGGAGGGCGCCATAGGACATGATGGTGTTATGTTCAAACTCACTATAGAAAGCTACTCATACTGGAAACCCATGATAGAGGACTAGCTTTATTGCAAAGATCTATATGAGCTCATTTTGAGCGTGGACAAGGCAGAAGGGAAGAATGATAAAGAGTGAGATCTCCTCGATCGAAAGACGGTCGCTATGATCCGCAAGTACATTGACAAAAGCTTATTCAAGCATGTATCAATCTACACAAACGCTAATGAGCTGTGGATGAAGCTAGAATCCCTGATTCATAAAAAGAAGCCACGAAACAAAGCACACCTAGTGCGCTGACTTGCAAACCTGGACTACAAGGACAGACAAAGCATGATTGAACATCTGTATATATACAAAGGGATCGTCAATCAGCTGACAAAGATTGATATGAAGATTGATTATGAGTTATAAGCACTTTTGCTACTCAGCTCATTGCCTAAGAGCTGTGATACTTTGATGGTGACGCTCGGTAACTTAGCCCAAGAAGGAAAGATGACCTTGAACTCGGTTACAGACAACCTGCTAAATGAATAGGCTAGGAGGAAAGAATGGGCATAACCCAACAATATGAAGCGGATGTCATCGAAAGCCATGAAAGAACAGCATATCGAGGCAAAAGTAAAAGTTGAGGTCGAGGCAAGTCTAGAGGTCGGTCAAAGCTGAGGCTAGATCTCATATGCTTCTACTATGAAAAACCGGGTCACTGGAAGTCTGAATGCCAGACTCTGGAGAAGGATTAGAGGACGAGCAATGTTACACCAAAAGTGATAGATTAGAAGATAAAAGACGAGCAGATCACCATGGCCATAGGAGCCAGTGCCAATGACAACTATTTTACCATGTGTCATGCGTACAATAAACCACTTTCAGGAATGAAGAGTCCTGGATCCGCTTAGAGTGGGTCCTAAAATGAAACATTTTGACATTTTATTTCTGAACCATAATATTACAATAATTAATTTCAAAAATCGTGACTTATCCCAAATATATTTGTGTACCGTTATTGAATACAATGCATGCATTTGGATGTGGACAAATCAATAATGGGTGCTTTATGTTTACTTTGATAGAATTGTTAGTGTCTGTGAACACTCAATTTTGTCTCAAATATTTAAAAATGACCAAAAAATACAAAAACATAAAAAAGAAAAAGAAAAGAAAATATTTAAGTTATGAACACATATTTTTGTCCTTCAATAAGGAAAAAACGAAGAGAGCAACCAAAAAGATGGAAAAGGGAAGGAGGGCCATTTCATAAAAAATAACAGCTTTGAGTAGGATCTGTTCCAGCCACGATATATCCTTCATCCACTGTCCGATCGAGCTGAAATTTTTTTGGCAAGATCTTAACTCATCGTCCTTTATATAGACTAGTGGATTTCTTGATTGTATTTCTATATCATTTCCAGAAAATTAAAATCTGCAACAGTTTTTCTGGACATTTCTGCAGCGAGCAGCGATTTTGTTAGGGTTATTTCTCCTAAATGAACCGTTAGATTGTCCTCAAATTTTGTCAGCATGTTCCCCTCATGTAATACTACAATATGACTAGACGGAATTTCGAACTGAGCCTCCTAGCATCAGATATAAATTTCGAAAGATGGGCTGTTAGTTTTGTTAGAATAGATGCAATTTCGGGCAGCCATATTGCGAGGATCATTTCTCTCAAATAAACCGTCGATCTTCCTCAAATTTGGTCTGTATGTTCCTCGCATATGATACTTCAATATGGCCGGACCGATTTTCAAGCTAAGGCCTCTGGTGTGAGATATGGTTGTCGGAAAAAGGCTGTCCACATTGAAAAAAATTAATTTTCCTAAGAAGTCCCACATTTCCATTTCTCATTCCTTCCTCCTCCCTTCCCTCTATATAAAGAGCCTCTTCCCCTTCTTTCAAAAACACACAATTGGAGAAAACCAAACAAAAAACACAAAAAGACTCTTTCAAGAGTTAAAAAAAAAGACACTTGGGCTTTATATTAAAGCTAGAGTCATAGTAAAAAATTTGTTTTTGAGTAGAATTAGGAGGGTTTGTTAATTTGGCTGTGACGGCTTGTTAACTTATCTGTGAGGATTAATTTGGCAGTGATGGCTTGTTAACCTCATAGTACATTTTGGGGGCATCAAGCTTGTTGAGTTGAGGCAATTCTCTACAACATGGCTCCGTACACCAAGTTTTATCGTCTCTGAGGTAAGTCTGCTTACCTTTACCTTTAGTTAATAATCGTCTATTTTTGTATGCTTTTTCATGTTCTTTATTTGCTTTATTAGTTTATAATTGTCTATAATTTATGCTCTTTATTTGTTTTTTGTTTAATTTATAATTGCCTATTTTTTGCATGCTTTTTTATGCTCTTTATCTATTTTATTATAAATTTTCTTATAATTGTTTATTACTTTTATATGTTTTTAATCTCTTTATTGGTTTATTAGAATTTTTCTTATATAATTTAGAAACTTAATTAGGGATTAATTTGGCCGTGATGACTTGTTAATCTCATAGTTTCTTGGGTCATTTTGGCTGTGACAGCTTGATGAACCAAGCTAGTTTTATATTTATTTATTTATTTTTCCTAATTAAGGATTAATTTGGCCGCGACGGCTTGTTAATCTCGTAGTATTTTTCGGGTTATTTTAGTTGCGACAGCTTGATAATTCGAAGCATTTAAAATGAATTTCTTTAAAATTATTTTCAAAAATTAAAACCAACTAGTATACATATTTTTTAAGAACGACATAGCTTTGAATTCCTCACTGCACCTGAGGATACGTCGGAGCGGAACTCTTTCTGTAAAGCTAAAACAAAGTTTAATAAATTATTTCTCTCCTTAATCATATTTATATTTTATGGGAAAAAGAAAATATTTTTAAAAAGCTATTAATAATTCGCACAATTAATTTAAGGTAACCATTTTAAAACAGATGTGTCAGGGGTGCAGTGGGATTAAGTTTCCACCCTTCCCTGCGCATAATTAGACTCTCGAACCTTTGATCTTAATTTTAAAGACCAGTTTGCAATGAAAGATTTTCCAATTTTTCCAAAATAAATAAAATTGGTGGCGACTCTATTGTTTTTTTTTTTTTAATTTCGGGTCGTTACAGTGTCGATGAAACTTTATCGTTTAGTTCACCAATACTAGTAAAATTCAACGGCTAAATTGAATAAATTAAGCATAAAAATTGGGAAAAGTTCAAATATCTCCATGTGATTTGCCTTTGAATCTCTTACTCCTCTATGTTTCATTTTTTTGTCACTTCTATGCTTTTTTCCATCCAAGTCCCTCCTTAACAGTGTTAGAATTTCTAATTAATATGATTATGATATCATTCTTATAAAAATACACTTTAGTTACCATGTGTCATCTTCTTCCCCAAGCTTTGCAAGGGTATTTTACCAAACAAAATTTCTTTGTTTTAGACAAAAGTTATGAAATTCTTATAACAAGGTAATGAGAACAAAAAGCCAAACAAACCATTAAAAGTTAAACCTATATTGTTGAGTCATTATAAGTGTAGTTGAGCCATTATTTTTTGACACAAAATTTCACTTCAATAGCTTAGATTGACTTATAGTTTATAAATTCATTAACTGATAGTTTACTCTATAAAATACTTACCAATCACATAAAGAAATAATTGGCCGTATAACTCCTGCTAGGGGTGTAAATGGGCCAGGCTGGGCCGGACTTTGGCCTTCCTGGCCTAAGCCTACGTAAAAAAATATTCAGCCTATCTGACCTATTGGCCTACTAAAGGCTTATTTAAAGGCCAAGTCTGGCCTATTTTTAAAAAACTAGAGAGCCTTATATGGCCTACAGGCCTTGTAGGCCTTCCTAGTGATATATTTTTAAATACTTTTAAAAAAAATTAAGAATATTTTTAACAATTTTTAAAATATTCGCTTGACATTACAAGTCATAAACGTGTTCATAAATTGCTGCATTTTTTTACACGAGATATAAATTTCACTAGTGAGCATTAAAAATTTTACAATAGTAAAAAAAAATAACTAATCCAAAATATACTGAGCAAAGTTCCATTCAAGCATGCACTAGTACTGATTGCCACCTAAAATAAATATATTATATTATTTTATTTTAAAAAATTAAATAGGCCAGCCTACAAAGTTTTAAGCCAGGCTTGATGAAATTGGCCTATGGCCTACTTGTTAAAAAAGCTTTCTTATTAGCCTAAGCCTACTCTACTTTTCAACGTAGGTCAGGCTCAACGTAAACCGGGTTGTAGGTTAGGCCAGACCAGCCTGACCCATTTACACCCCTAACTCCTGCACTCTACAACATGTAACTATAAATTTTATTTTATTTTTTGGATAATGCAACTATAAATTTCTAATTTTTTAAGATACAGTACATATTTAAATTTCTTTATTCCTTCTTATTCGATGATTAAAAATATTTCTTTTCACTTTTTAATTTTTTTATTCCGCACGTATTCGCTTTTCTTGGAAATATTAAAATCTATGGCAGATTTTTCTTTTGGCAAAATCTTTCATAAGCTCTAATGAATAAAATCAAATCCATCAATCTGAAAGCTTCAATCTTTACCTTGAACCATTATAGGTGCAGTTGAGCCATTATTTTTTGGGACAAAATTTTTCTTTAATAGCTTGAAATTTTATGTATGAAATATTTGCATCAAAAGGGAAAAGAAAATTTATTACCTTATTAATGGAACTTCACAAATTCTATTTGAAATTGGAGAAATTTTGTATGGTAATACTTTCTTGCAAAGCTTAGGGAAGAAGATGACACAAGTTACTTGAAATGTATTATTGTAAGAAGGGTAAAATAATTATATTAATTAGAAAAGCTAACACTATTAAAAGAGCTTGGATGAAAAATCCACACAAAGATAAATAATAAAAATAAGGGAAAACTTCATTTTCACCTACCGTGATTTTGTGTTTTATCATTTGACCCCATGTGATTTTAAACTTATCAGTTAGACCCACTGTGCTGAGATATTTTGTTATTCAACCCCCTATGGTTTCAAATTTTCACTTAGACCCCTTGTGGTTACAAAAAATTTCACTTAGACACCTTGTCGCAATAAAAATAAATATTTAAAATAAATGTTCTCTTTTTTTTTATATCCTCACCTAATGCATTTAGGGTTTAAGAAATAATTTTTCTTTTTAAATTCACTTATTTTTATCAAGAAAATAAATTCAAATCAAGTATTATTTTATTTTATCTATTTTTTATCCGATATCGTTATAAAATTATCTAAAGAATGTAAATATCTTATTTTGATATTGTATATTTAGTTTATCTTAAATAATATTTTTTGATTTCAAATATATTTTAAGAAATTAAGATAATTTATAAATTAATTTCAGAATAAATAACTTGAAATATTTTTTAAACCATAAATGCATTCATTACATGAGGATATAACATAAAAAAGAGAGAAAATCTATTTTAAATATTTATTTTTTAAACCACAAGGTGTCTAAGTAAAAAAATTTGTAACCACAAGGGATCTAAGTGAAAATTTAAAATCATAGAGAGTTGAATGACAAAATATCTCAGTACAGCGAGTCTAACTGATAAGTTTAAAATCATAGGAGATCAAATGATAAATCACAAAACTATAGTGGAAGAAAATGAAGTTTTCCCTAAAAATAATAATATAGAAAAATAAATGATTCAAAAGCAAATAATAGAAGGTATTTGAACTTTCTCTGTAAGTTTATCTTGCGCTTACAGGAAAAAAAATTAAAATAATGTTTTTTAATTAAATAATTACGTATTTATTGCAGTTTTGGAAAAAATTACGGATCTATTGCACACTACAAGTGACGCCCCATTGAGGCGTCTCACCCTAAGGGAAAGACGCCCAAATGTGGCGTCTCTCATTAGGTGTTGGCACGTGTCACTTTTTTTCTAAAAAAAAATTAATTTAATCTTAAAACTTCTAAAGGTCATAACTTTTGACTCGAGTATCCAAATCAGGTAATACTTTTTTTGATTCCACATAACTTTTCGAGATCTACGCAATGACATTTCATTTGACATATTTTATTTCTCACAAACACAATTTTAATTTGAAAGAATGATATTATAAGAGCAGTTAAACTCAGAAGCCTCTTAGTTCTGGATTAGTGATTTAATATAAAAAAATAAATAAAATTTTGATTTGTAATTTAAATTTTTTTTATAATAATGTTGTTTATTATAACAAAAATTTGGTTTGTGATTTAAATTCAAAATAAAAATAAAAATTATTATTAATAAGGAAAACAAAATAAATATTTGATTTGTGATTTAAACTAAAAATTCAATTTGAAAAATCTGTAGAAATAATTAAATAAATATTCTAAATTTCTAAGGAATAAAGATATTATTTTTAAAATTAATGATTAATGCTATAAGCTTCTGGGTTATTATTCGTGGTCTGAAATTAATGATGGCTTATGAATGTTTTTCAAAAATAAAATTACCTAAATTAGGCGTGATTGCCTCTTGATTGAAGCCCAATTTAGACGTGATTGATGATGTGTTAAGTTTTGACACGTGTTGACACGTGTCACATTTTTAAACTCAGAAGCCTCTGAGTTTGCGTTTGTGATTTAATACAAAAAATAAATCAAGATTTGATGTGTGATTTAAATTAAAAAATAAATTTTTTTATTTTTATTATAAAAAAATTTGGTTTGTGATTTAAATAAAAAGTAACAATTATTATTAATAAGGAAAATAAAATAAAGAATTGATTTGTGATTATTAATTTGAAAAATATGTATTAATAAAGAAAATAATTAAATAAATATTCTAAATTTCTAAGGAAGAAGGATTACCTGATTTAAATTTAAATTATGTTGGTGAGAAATAAAATATATCAAATGACATGTCATTGTGTAGATCTCGAAAAGTTATGTGGAATAAAAAAAATTACCTGATTTGGATACTCGAGTCAAAAGTTATGGCCTTTAGAAGTTTTATGATTAAATTAATTTTTTTTTTGGAAAAAAAAAGTGACACTTGTCAACACCTCATGAGAGACGCTCCATTTGGGCGTCTTTCCCTTAGGGTGAGACGCCTCAATGGGAGGTCACATGTGACGTCCAAAAGAGACGTCACAGTGTGCAATAGATTCGTAATTATTCTCAAAACTGTAATAAATACGTAATTATTTTATTAAAAAACATTAATTAAACTTTTTTCCTGCGCTTACATATATATAGGCCATTGCACAAATTTAAATGGTAGATGGAAAATTAAATACAGGAGTTGGATGTTGCAGCCATTTATTATGTTTAAATAAAGATAAGATAAGATAACAACAATTGTCCTCGATTTGCTGCCATTTATTTTTAGGAAAATAATTTTTTTATATTGTAAGAAAATAATTATCTTATATTGTAAAATTAAGATTGCAAATGAGATGCAGAGGTAAAAGAAAAGAGAAAAAAAAGTGAGATCTACTCATCTTTTGTATATATAAAAAATTTAATTATGTGATGCAAAATGAGATAAATATAACTCTTGTTTTTATTAGCCATATGCAATTGTCAAATCAGCATTACATCGTGTGAATAAGAAAAGACACAATAATAGACATAGACTATTGTATATAAGGAGGGGAAAATGATACAATTGATGCAAATTCAAAAATAAATTATTTAATTGATGCAGAAATGAAACATTTAAAAAACATAACGCAAGTAGGTAAATTATTTACTAATAGAAGGAAAGCACAATTAGTTGCGCATAGTGAGAATATGCAACAGCCACTTAACGCAAGTAGGTAAATTGTGTCACCCCATGGGTTACAATGTTTAATATTTAATTTTATGTTATCCTATAGATCCTAGGATATTGTATACAAATATTTCAATATATGAAACTTAAAATAAATTAAACTCAACTATACGAGCCTTCAATTAATAAGAATGTATAAGCTATAATAGATATTTGGATGTAAATATTAATTTAATCAAAGTAAGTTACAAATCAGAAATTAAAAATGAAAAATTCAGGCTAAAGCACCATTTTAAAGTTTTTGGACAAAAGAATTGTCCGGTTAAAGCTGATTGTATAAGTTTTTCTAAAGTAATGCAGTCAAACATGTCACCTATGCTGACGGGACTCGTGTCACGTCAGCGTCACGTAAGCAGTCCAATTACCGTAAATTTTCGGAAGACCATAACTTGTGACTCGGGTATCCAAATCAGATGATTTTTTTTTTTGATTTCACATAACTTTTCAAGATCTACGCAATGAAACCTCATTTGATATATTTTATCTCCCACAAACATAGTCTTATGGATAAACACTCTTGTGATTGTGATATAATTGTTACAAATTCAAACTATGTTTGTGGTAGATAAAATATGTCAAACGAGGTATCATTGCGTAGATCTCGAAAAGTTATGTGAAATAAAAAAAATATCTGATTTGGATACCCGAGTCACAAGTTATGGTCTTCCGAAGATTTACGGTAATTGGATTGCCTACGTGGCGCTGACGTGGCACGAGTCCCGTCAGTATCAGTGACGGGTCCCGTCAGCATAGACGACATATTTGACTGCATTACTTTGAAAAAACTTATCCAATCAGCTTTAACCGGATAATTCTTTTGTCCAAAAACTTCAAAATGGTGTTTTTCCCAAAAATTCATAAAGATTTAATGTAAATATTTTCCATGATATAGGTGGGGAATTAAATAGAGCAGCTGGATGGTGCAACTTCATATTAGCCACACAATAACTAGAAGACTTTTCATTTGACTCAAATCACGTAAACCTGTATTTTATATTAAGTGCTGTCTGAATATAAATTTATCTGACGTCGTACATAGAGTCGCTCATATTTATATTAATTGAAGTTAAAAAAGAAATAAAAAAAAAAAAAAACAGACTTTAGCCCAAATCTTCATTTTTATTTTATTTTATTGGAGAACACTAAATCTGTTTCCCACAGTAGAGGGTTGAATTTTTCTCTTTTGTAACTTTTATTTTCCTTTCAAATTTATTTCGTTACGTCACATCAAGTAAAGCTCCAACGAAATTTCTGACTGGCCTCTTTTAATGATATCTGACCCCACAGCAAAAGTAGAAGAAATTATTATGTCAATGTGATAATTGCAAAGAAATCAAACTTGTGGTTTCGTCAATATTGGCTTACCATCTTCACAAACACAACATTGCATAATTATTGTTCCATTTTACGATAGAACAATACACTACCATCTTATCCTATTGAGAGCATCTCAGATCCTTGTTTGTGCTCAATATTCCATCTCAAATTGGGTTACAGAAAGCCATGGCAGAGCTAGTCGCTGGGGCATTTCTTTCGTCTCTCTTTCAAGTGACTTTGGAGAGCTTGGCTTGCCGTGATTTCTACCGTAGAAGCAAACGTAAGGCTGTGCTGATGGAAAAACTTGAGTTTACACTTAACTCTATCAACCATGTGCTGGATGATGCAGAGAAAAAGCAGTACCAAAGCGATTCCGTGAAAAAGTGGCTTGATAAACTTAAACATGTTGCTTATGAGACAGACCAACTGTTAGATGAGATTGCTACTGATGCTGCACTCAAGAAGCTCAAGGCTACATCTCATCCAGCTACATGCAAGGTACGAGGCTTCTTTTCAGCCTTTACTAGTAATCCATTTGAATCCAGGATCAGAGAGTTGCTAGAGAACTTAGAATTTCTTGCAAAGCAAAAGGAAACGCTAGGATTGAGAGAAGTCACTCTTGCTAGCAATGAAGGTGACTTTCGTGGGAATCTCTCAAAAAGAATGCCCACCACATCTTTGTTGGATCTATCAAGCATCATATATGGTAGAGACGGGGATAAAGAGCAAATAATCAAATTTTTACTTTCAGACAATGTAAGTGGCAATCAGATTCCCATGATTAGTATAGTGGGCATCGGTGGAATGGGTAAGACCACCCTTGCTCAGCTTGTGTACAATGACCAAAGGTTGCAGGAGCAGTTTGAACTTAAAGCTTGGGTCTATGTTTCAGAACATTTTGATGTTGTTGGAGTCACAAAGGCAATTCTCAAATCATTTCATTGTTCAGCAGATGTTGAAGACTTGAATAGACTCCAACTCGAATTGCAAAAGAAATTAATCGGCAAGAAGTATTTGATTGTTCTTGACGATCTTTGGAATGAGGATTGGGCAAGTTGGGAGGTCTTAAAAGTTCCCCTTAACTATGGATCTTTCGGAAGTCGGATCATTGTCACAACACGTAATAAGAAGGTAGCAACAGTCATGAAATCCACCCAACTGCTTCCTTTGAAGGAATTGGAGGAAAATGATTGTTGAAGTTTATTTGTGAGACATGCTTTTCAGGACAAGGATGTAAGTGAATATCCAAATCTTGAATCAATTGGCATAAAAGTTGTAGAGAAGTGTGGAGGGTTGCCTTTAGCTATAAAAGTATTGGGAAATCTCTTGCACATAAAATTCTCTGAACGTGAATGGGTTAAGATATTGGAGACTGATATGTGGCGTTTATCAATTGACAGTAACATCAACCTAACACTGAGATTGAGTTATCATATTCTTCCTTCCAATTTGAAGCGTTGTTTTGCTTATTGTTCCATGTTTCCCAAAGGTTATTGGTTTAAAAAGGATGAAATAATAGAGGTTTGGATGGCAGAAGGATTGTTGAAATGTTGCAGAATAGATAAAAGTGAAGAAGAGTTAGGTGATGAATTCTTCAATCATCTTGAGTATATTTCATTTTTCCAACACTCAGGCAATATCTTCGTCATGCATGATCTTGTCAATGACTTAGCAAAATCTGTGTCAAAAGAATTTTGTTGGCGAATAGAGGGTGATAAAGTGCAAGATATCCCGGATAAGACACGTCACATTTGGTGCTCTAATGATGATAAAATATTAGAGCAGATTTACAAGTGTAATGGATTGCGCAGTTTGATATGGAAACAAGGTTATCGAGGCTTCAATATATGCAACAATGTACAACTTGCTCTGTTTTCAAGAATAAAATATTTGCGGGTGTTATCATGCACATATCAAAATCTCTCAGAGCTAGATGATAAGATAAGCAATTTAAAGGTTTTGCGCTATCTAGACCTTTCTGGCACTCAGATTAAAAAGATACCTGATTCCATTTGTATGCTGCATAATTTGCAAACACTGAAATTAGAAGATTGTTCGAATTAGAGAGAGCTCCCTTCAAATTTTTACAAACTCGTCAATTTATGTCATCTTCACCTCATTGGAACTCCAATAAAGAAGATGCCAAAGTATATAGGGATGCTAATCCATCTACATACGTTTACAGATTTTATTGTGGGAGAGCTCAATGGATCTGATATTAAGGAGTTGGCCAAACTCAACCATCTTCAAGGAAGACTCAAGATTTCAGGGTTGGGAAATATCACTGATCCTGCATATGTTGCAGAAGCTAATTTGAAAGATAAGAAACATTTAGAACAATTATTGTTGATTTTTGATGGTAGTAGAGAAAGACCATCAATGAGTGGAAGAGACTATGACTCAATAATTGAAAGGCGTGTCTTAGAGGCACTTCAACCCGATTGCAACCTAAATAGGCTCACTATTAGCAATTATCGTGGCAATAGCTTTCCAGATTGGCTTATGGGTTGTCATTATTATGTACATTTTGTAAACATGTAATATTTTGTATGTTTTAAATCTATTGTTGGGCTTATTCTCATGGTAACTGGTTTTAATATTTATTTGTGGGCCAATGACTTCAGCATTATTTGTTTCTAAGGCCAAGTTGTTATCCCATTCAGCAGGTATAGATGCAACACAGCCAAAACGATGGCATTTTGTGTTTTGATGGCATTATACCTAATGGTTGCTTAGCTTATGTGATTATGTGGCATTTACTCTAGATTCTTCAATTGTCTCTTTCTTCTGGTTCTCTGAAAAATAGAAAACCTAGGATTTCATCAAGTGCTTTGTGAGGGATTTTGAGTGAGAAATACTGAGAATCTCACCTCGGTGTTTAGAGAGATTTGTTCCTTGTGTTGAGGCTCTCAGTTGCATCAGTTTACATTTGGGAGATTCGATCTGCAGAGGATTCAAGTCGAAATGCTCCATGCTATAGATAAAAGACCAAGTTAGGACATGTGACTATTGCCTTTACCTCGGATATAATCGGGTTACGAAACCTGGACCATGATTGAAGGAAGCAATGCTTACCCTTCATCAATAGTAACTTAACAAAACATTAAGTTAAGATAAAAAGCATCATGGAAAATGACAAAGAAAAATGCGGAATCGGTACGATATCTTTTGACCCCGGCCAAGTCAATGAATAACACTCAGGATGTATATCCGGGTTGACAATATGATCCATCTCTGGTGGAAGGAATATCTTGATAAGGTTTGAAATACATAGAAGTATGTCTAAGTTACAAACCTAAGCAATAAACATTACTCGCGATGTATATCCGGGTTGACAATATGATCCATCTTAGATGGAAGGAAAATCTTGATAAGGTTTGAAATACTTAGAAGTATATCTAAGATACAAACCTGAACAATAAATGTTACTCGGAACGTAAATCCGGGTTAACAATATAATCCATCTCGGATGGAAGGAAATTCTTGATAAGGTTTGAAATACTTAGAAAAATATCTAAGTTATAAACTCAAACAATAGATACGCAAAGCCTGCTTATCAAATCAAGAAAGCACCAAATTGCTTAGGCAAAGATGTGCTGATAAATGTTAAAAATGAAAAATCAGGTGAAATATATTAGATAACCCAGCGATAGACGACAATTGAAAATAGTCTGAAATACTTAGAAATATATATCTAAGTCATCAGGCAGGCATGAAATATAAAAATGCAAGACATCAGTATAAAAATGAAATTATCCAAAGGCATGAAGCTGATGAAAATACGTCAGAAATATCAAATGAAAAGGATCGAGTAGAAACCCGGCAATATTCGCTACAAATTAAAATGGGACTCAAAAGCCCCAAGAAAAAAAAAGTTACAAACAAAACCAGCATCCCGACCCTTCATTCTACAGGTGTCTCAACCTGTTCCATCTGAACATCACCCACTTCGGCAACATCTTGATTAGTAACATCCTCATCTCCTTCAACTCGCGCCCTCAATCTGGATCGCCGAATCACAGCGGGGGACTCTGGAGGGGGAGGAACAATTTGGCCATTGCTGACGTAAGATTTATGATGCAAGCCGGTGGTATTGAACTCGAGGCCAAGATTTAGAACCTTAATCTGATTGAGAGCATTGTTAAACGAACCCAATACCGACTTCTCCAACTCTCCTCGGTAGAACTAGGCATCGTTCTCGGCTTCCTTTATCTTACTCTCAACAGGTTCATGAATAATTTTAAAATCCTTTAAGGATTGAACGTTGCCAACATGCAAACGTTGAAGGGCATTATGTGGCTGCTGAAGGGTTTCGAGGTCCTCTTTCACCATCAACAGCTCGGCAACAGTCTTACCCTTCTCCTCCCGTGCTGCGCTCATCTCATTCAAAGTGCGAACATACTTATTCTTCAGAGAAAGTAGAGGCCTTGCCAACGAAGCCATTTTCATGCAGTTCACTTCAATTTTTTTCTAACTTCCTCACCTCAGAAGCAGTAAAGGGAATAGAATTGAAGAAATGGTCTGGTGGACAAATAACATCACAGAATTCGCCACTAACCCCGGATTTCCATAAAGCATTCTTCACGAGGCCTATCGTAGGAGGAGGAAGAGTTTTGGCTAAAATTCGAGTAGAGGCAGGGGCACCCTTATCAGCCGGGATCCCTTTGCCTTTTTCCCCTGCAGTTGGTATAACACCTCGCAATTCTAAATAAAATATTAAAATATTAAATGAGAATTAAAGGGAAGGATTAGTTAATATCTTGAAAATTAGGCCAAAATATAAAGAAAGGGCAAAACGATAATTAGCCAACACGCAACCCTAGGAAGATAAAAATTGAGTAGAAGGTCTCAGATGATTAAAATAACCCTGGAAATGGATTCAGAATGAAAAATTGAGTGATTAGGCAAGTTTCAGAAAATTCAGTGAATAGTGGTTTTACCGGGTAAAAATATCGCAGTACAGTTGCACCGTAAAACGTGCCGATTGAGTTTTGAGCTCTAGGTTTTGAATACAAGTTATAAATGGTTTATAAAACTAGGAAATATGATTTCTGATGAAAATTGATGGAAATAAGTAAGTTTGGGGAAGCGTGCCTACTACGCACGCAACAGCTTAAAACTGCGATTTCTCCGAACGACCGAAAAACTCCAGATCCATTTGATCAAGGACAACTAAAAGACAATGGTTAATGTTAAAAATTAGAGTTTCTAAATAGTTTATGAAATTATGGACGTTTAGTTGAATAGGCGGGAGATTTGAATTAATTTGAATCGCGTGAGGTGGTGGTGGGACCCACCCCACTTAAGTGACCTTTAAACACATGGCATGGGTCACTATTCATCATCTTTTTCTCCTTTCTCTCTTATCAAAACCGTGCTCCCTCCCTCCTCCATGAAAATTTGCTTTCAAATCTTCTTCCTCCCTTAACTTCATCGATTCTTAACCGAATCGAATGATTCTTGTAACACCCCGTATATATCTGGTAATGTTATCATATCATCGTATTAAGCTGCGCTTAATTAAAAATGCGGAATATCTTTTTCTTTTCAATTATGACGTCATTATCATTACCAAATTGCTTAATTAATCAATTAAATAAAATCATGCCTGTATGTAAATTGCAAAAGACAGCTAACTGAAATACCTCATTAATTAAAATAACAGATATAAGTCTCTAGTCACGGAACTACAACACGTAGACCGGACAACCTACTAAGTTATACAACTCAACTCAAGGTACTAACATAAAGTGGCATGGACAAACCTCATGCTCACCCAAATAAGGCGCAAGCCCAACATAAGTCTCAACATCAACAGCATAATAAAAGCAACTAAAAACATAACATCAACAGAATATCCAGCATCCAACATGTCAACATAATAAACAACAATATCATCAACTAAGCTCTGGCTTCCTGCCGCTAGAGGCATCAACCCCTATACTACCTGAACCTGAAATAAGCGCCCCAAACGTGGGGTGAGATCTCTAACAAGAAATCTCAGTAAGTCAAGGGGTCCTCAAGGATCTTCCACCCCAAGCTACTTACATGTGCAATATAAGTTCCAAAACAGTTTAACAACATCATTTCCAAAATAGTGCAATGCAGCAGATAATCATGTCATGTGTGTCAATACAATAATCTACTGGCCAGAGAAATGTAGGAATACGTCTATTACTCACACAGTACGCGCCCTGCCGTACCTACCCTTAGGATACTATCACATCGGGTGAACACCACATACATATCATAAGCCATTGCACATATCATCTCAAAAGCATTTCAAATATATCAAAGCATGTAACACAGCAGGCATATAAACCATTCCCCCATGGGGTATGGTGAAACCACAACATGGCTAAACCGAGGATACGAAAGCTTACCTCTTAAGCTAACTATCCAATCCAAGAGTCCACACAAGCTCAAAGCCCAAACACCGCAGTATCACAATCTGTTATGGACCAATAATATATCAATAATCATGCTCTACAAGCATACAACATAAAGACCACGCCTTTCCTTTACGTTTTACGTCTTAAGGCTTCACACAAAGCCACAAGCCCTTAATCACTTGATTCTGACTTAGTTCAATTATTAAAGAAGTTCAACTTCATCAATCTAGGGTCCACAAACCCCAAACATCAGTTCTGGATGAACAGTAAGCTACTGTTCCTCGAAAATCCAGAATATCCGGATATTTGTCGGGGGCATATCCGGATATCAATATCCGGATATCACATAAACCTATATCCGGATATCACTGAACTACATATCCGGATATCAATATCTGGATATTTCGTGACAGAATGCAGTTCTGCATTTTCGCGAAGATATCATCCAAAGGTTCCTCTTTTACCAATTACAGAAGCTTAAACATGCATTTCTAGGTGTGTTTGACATTACCCAACGTTAAGTTATCAACTTTAACTCATTACATGCATCAAGGTTCCATTTTTAAGCATTAAACTCAAGTACAAGAGTGATGATCATACCACAAGCTCAAAACAGAGCAAGGAGGTGCTCTTGGAGCTCACATAACCGCTCTAAAGTTCTGACTTCGAAGAGGAACAAAAATGGTGAACAAGAGTGGTTCTTTCCTTCACAAGATAGCTTCTTGAAGTATCAAAACACCATAACCATGGTTCCCTCAACCCTCACCATGAAGTCAGCCCCTAGACCACCACTAAACAGAGCCCAAAAACTCAGAAGATGGCACATTTCTCCCTCACCATGCTCACACCCAAGTGTTTGACACACAAAGAGGAAGATTCAAAGAGAAAAGGTGATTCCTTGAAGGGTTTTCATGAAGAAAACACGGTGGCAGCTTGAAGACTCAAAGTTCAGAGAAAAACCCACGTAGGAGGCTGAAGATCAGCCTAGGGTTTAGTGCCAAGCACTATATATAGGCGGTTTAAGTCATAACACACAGTATTAAGATAAATAGCTACGCTTAGCATTTTAATCCCGAACTCAGGATTCTGAACCTACTCAATTTTACAAGAA